GTGTGTGTGTGTGTGAGAGAGAGAGAGAGAGAGAGAGAGAGAGAGAGAGAGAGAGAGAGAGAGAGAGAGAGAGAGAGAGAGAGAGAGAGAGGTGCAGAGCATGTCAGTGACCGGGAGCACAAGGGCAGGTGCTAACCTCGAAAAACAGAAAAAAGGTAATGTTCTATTCCGATACATGTGGTGAGTAGTGGAGTGATGACCCTCGGTATGCATAATCTGCTTCGCGTGGAGTTCGAACTCTGGTCTGTATTTCAACAGTTCAGGTCAGGGGTGTACCAACTGAGCTACTATGCCAGTTGGTAGTAAGAGGGTAGTCTATTCGCACGGCCCCTGCACAAGGATGACACGCGTAAATCGAGAAATAGTTCCCCCCCCCACCCCCCACCAACCTTCAACCAACCCAAAAAAAAAAAGGAGAGAAAGAAAGAAAAAGAAGGTGCCCCTGTCCTTCGGGACATCCGTTAAAATTGGAACGATACAGAGAAGATTGATTAGCCTGGCCCCTGCGCAAGGATGACACGCATAAATCGAGAAATGGTCCTTTTTTTTTTCTTTTTTTTTTTTTAAAGAAAAAAGAAGGTACCCCCGGCCAATATAGAAATGAACTGTCTGTACAGGATGTCAACAGAACGGGAGGGCACGTCGTTGCTGTGTGTTGACACGTGTCATGCAAGACAGGTTCACCCAATTGTGGTCTCATTGCTCGGCTGGTTAATGGCTTTATATTGCACGGCTTGCTGAGGTCATACTCACACCTATACTTTGTGGACAGGATCTGGCTGGAATGGCGGCGAAGATACTTACAGCCGTTTTAAAAGTGCTGGTGTGAACGTGCACGTAGTTGTGCAACATAGCCGTTCTTCATGTCGTATCAATAACCTGCCATGGTCGTCTTGTCTCATCCTGTCCTAACAGGTTGCAAAAGATGAGCGCAGCAGCAGAATCTGGCTGGAACTGCGGTCAGATACGTCCCACAAAGTTCTCTAGTGCGAAAGAATGAGACCACGTTGGCACTTTGGCTGTAGACCAGACGCATACCGAGGCGAATCATCTGGATCAAGCTTTATGGGAGCAGGGACGTGGCCTGTTTAGCAAGTACAGAGAGAGAGTTGGGAGAGGGAGGGATTTTTTTTCATGAATTTCATGCTATCTGCTCTCTTCTTAACCGGGATTAAGAAAAAAAAAAAAAAAGAACAGAAAAAAAAGAAAGAGAGACCAGGTTGGCACTTTGGCTGTA